AGATCATACTGTATACTTTGCTATGCAAAGTTTTCACCACCTTGGGTGTGGAGACTATTGCTTAGGGGGCTGATTCTTATCTTTTTGAGTCAAACTTGTGAATCCACATTGTTGTCTTTATCACCAAAGGACTGTCATTAGATGAAACCCTTTATCATTTCCTTGTGTGCATATCTGAAAATAGATAAAGATTGAATTAATTTATGAAACACTTCAGGAGCCACTTAGCATAATGTTGAAAATATATGTAATTTGGTGGCTTATTGCCATAAAACAGATGCCAGTCGCTCCTCTGACCACCACCACCAGGCAAGCTGGGTGAAGTGCTTTGCCCATGGACACAATAACTGAGATGGACAGAGAGGGGGATCGAACCATCAAATCAATGTTTTACAGGACAAACTCGTACCTCCTTGAGTCCCTGAGCTACCAAGTAGGTGTGCAGAGGCTGTCCAAGCACATGTTGAGGTAGAAACCTCAACAACAGGTTTCTACCTCAACCCCCTGAATGTTGGGGTTCACCTCAGTGAACGAGAGGATAGTCTCTCTCCGCCTATGTGTGGAGGGGTCAGTAGAGTTGCTGCTGGAGAGGGCTCCACCTGGGGACGTTCTTCTCCTGTTGGGGGACTTCAACGCTCTAGTGGACAATGAAGATGAGACCTGGAGGGGTGTGGTTACCCCCACTCTGAATCCAAGGGGAGTTTGGTTATTCAAGACGTTTGTGGTAAGAAGGGTTCACATGTGCATTTTCTTTAACTCGGCTCACAATCCACTTTGCTTGAGGTTATTATAATAATGTATGATTGCTATAGATATTTATCGATGTAGACTAAGTCCTTTGGAAGAACCAATCATATCTGTGTTGTGGCACAACCAGAGCCGGACCAGGGAGAAAAAGTTGGCCCAGCAGTTCCTGACAGACTGTCCCACCTTCAACTGCTCAGCATGAATTTACATAATACATATTTACATTAAACATTTAAACCAAGAAGTCTGCAAGGAACTCCTGGGCCAACCTTTCTCCACAGTTTGGTGCTACCCCTGAGCACAACATGTCAAGAATGCTGTGCTGCTTTTTTTCTGTAATCAATCATTTCAGATTGAACAAGTGGCTGAGGAGAGGGAAGTCTGGGCCTCCCTTCTTCAGCTGCTACCCCTGCGACCCGACCCCGGATAAGCGGAAGAAAATGGATCAATCATTTCACAACTTCAGACCGCTGTCAAACTGATGAACAGGGTGAAAAACAGCAACTCCAGGAATGCGTCTTTTCATTCCAGAAATGTTCAGCTCCTTCCACTCAGCAGAGGACATCTGTCATTGCAGCTTGTCAACAGTTTCTAGTGACTTAATACAACGAGCCGAGCATTTTGATTAAATTAAGATAATACCGAAATAAAAGGCAGTTAGTCCCTCCAAACCAGCCTTTTTATGCAAAATGAGATTGAATTTACATTTAAATTTAAGCAGAGTTTCACACTCACCTTTAGGGCCCTTGAATGATCACATTTTATTACCAGGACAAGCTTGCAACACAGCTTTCTACCATTTATTTTTTTGTTGATCTTTTTTTGTAACTGTGTGATGTCATAAAATGTTGCTCAACCTGAATCCTCCAAAGTAAAAAAAAACAAAAATACCATCAGGGATTACTGCAGCTCCTCTAGGTGGCATATAAACACATCTAATAAATCAGACTTATGCGTTTCAGTGAGGCTCGTTGTTTCAGATTAAAGGAACCTTTAGAGAACAACAATCTTTACCCATGGTTTAAACATATTTTTCATGCAGCCACATCTATGTATTGGAAATCTGTTTAATTGATCTGATGGAATTTTGAAAGTGCAATGTATTTTCATGAGCTGTAGCAGAGAAATCGTTGTTGTTGGCAAAAATAAAGTTTCTGAAATAAATGTTGTTTTCAATAATAATGTAATACATTTCTTGTCCAATGTATTTCATAAAATATGCTTTTTGTCTGCACCAGCTTAACAATGCATCATACTTTAATCACACTGATGCAAACACACCAATCAGATACAATCAAACTGCACAGGTATCAGTTTTCCTTCTGATCACTGCTAGAGCAACATTCAATAGATAGCTTCTTTGAGGAAGCATATCTGGGCTGATACTTCTATCAATTAGGAAAGTGTTTTACTGCGTATTGAAGCGATAACGGTCTGTGTTGTCCATTTGAAGGGGCATTCAGTGGGTAGTTGTTGTCCAGTTGGAGGGTTTCCAGGTTTTATTCCAGCTTCCTCCTGTCACACGTTGATGTGCCTCTGGGCAAGGCACTTAAACCCAACTTCCCTACCAATTTATCTACCAGTATATAAACATGTATGCATGTATGTGAGTGTGGATGGGTGAATGCGGCTCTAGTGTAAAGTGCTTTGAGTGTCCAGTATGACTGAAAAAGTACTACATACGTTCAGTCCATTTACCGTTTTAAACTAATTCTTGAAAACACAAAAAGCATTGATTGAATTTAGACAGGCATCAGCTTGTAAAGTCATATTGCAGAGTCTGTGCAAATATATCATCAGAGAGAACTACGATTAGCAAAGAGCTGATTTTATCTTTTGCTTTACCAACTGCACTTGATTGCAACATTCACCTTTCTTCTCCCTGCTTCACAGATCATTGACTCTCCTCTCACCTTTAGTGCTACACTCTAGAGAGGCAGAGATTCCTCAGTGTGCCTCACCCACATTATGCAATGAGAGTGCATTTTTGTACTCCCTTATTAGCTTCCGCATGCTAAACAACTTGTGTTAGAACAGTCTGCAGTCTACATTTTAAAAATCACATTCATTTATTGGAGAAAATCAGTCGCGAGAATATCCAGCTTCTCAAACATAATATTTTTCTAACACAACCTGCATGACAGAAGAAGTGTCTATGATTACAGTTGTCTGTAGTTATAGATGAACCTACAATTAAAAAAACTGGTGGATCCAAGGAATCGTAAGATGTCTTGTTTGTTGTGTAATGAAATTAAATGACATCAGACCTGCATCCTTGTGCCTGAGGCAGCCCCGGCTCCAGACGAGTTTAACAGGGGGGGCAGGGGGGGAATGAGTACATAGCAATAATAATAATATTACTGAAGTAAAAGAAAAAGGTGTAGTGTAGTAAAACTACTCATATAAACACCTTTTTTTTTCTTTAAAAAAAAAGTTACTCAATGTAACAAGTACTGCACACTTTTGAACATAAACAACATCAGTAGCCTACAGGCTGCTAGTTAACAAGCTGCACAGCAGCAGCAGGTCTCCTTCACAGGTGTAAACCCAGCGCCAGCGTCGTAGCGCTCATGTTGCGTTTAAAGGCGGCTCGGAAAAACAGGTTACGACGTGTTAACAACGGATTAAACGGTTTTAATGACTGAAAAAAGCGACAGGAGGCACAGATGTTGGAAGTGCGGAAGCTCCTACTGTATCAAATTGATATATGCATAACAGAGAGTTGGCCACTCTGAGGTAAAAACAACAAACAGCTTCCCCAATGGAATAGTCTTAGCATCGAGAGCCATCCGTATCACGAATGAAGCAGCAGAAAGGACTTCAAGATGGTTGTGACGTAAGAGAGGAGAACCGTGGAGTCCATGTTGCTGATTAGCCATCTGGAGACAAGCTGGGGTCTGTTCATTGCTGGTTGGGTCACCGAGGAGAGAGTGTATGATGCTGAAAGATCCGAAACACCCAATGAGTCCAGGAACATCAATGACGATTTGTCCAGATGTATCAGTAGATGTAATTACACATATCTAGGCCTGTCACAATAATAAATAAATCAATTTATCGCACAATAAATTAAAACAAACTCAATAATTTCCACTGGCATGATTTATTGTTTATCTAGTTTTTTTCTCTCTTTCCACCTAAAACTGGAGGAAAAAAGTTTTCAGTTTGCTACTTTGGTCTCAACTAGCCCTTTCTTTAATGGACAATTTTGTTTACAAAGACTTCAAAATTAATTTTATTTGTTGTTTTATTTATTTTGGATATTTAAAATGTCTTCCAGTTCCAGTGTTAAATGTTCATTAGAATTTAAAGTTTATTAAGAATGTGTTTTTGCATTATTATGCAATTACCATTATATTTCTTAAAAATGGTCTCAAAAAAACAATGTTATTGTTTATCTCAATAACTTTTGGAACAATTTATCATCCAGCAGAATTTGTTATCGTGGCAGGCATACATATATCACTTTATTAGGACACTGTAAGGTGACATCAGTCATTCCCATTCACCCACCGATTCACACACTGATGGAAAACTACTGGACTGTAGCCACAGCTGCCCTGGGCCTGTCTGACAGAAGCGAGGCTGCTGTACCGTGCCCTCGGTCTCTGAGCACCACCGGTAGGCGTCTTGCTCAAGAACACAACAACAGAGACGGACGGGGCAGGGTTGAAAATTAAAAGAATATTGCAGAACAAATCTTCCAGCACGGCCCAAGTCCTCCAAGAACCTTTCAGGAATTGTGACGTCACAGGAAGGCTGACGGACTGGTGGAGCTCTGGGACCCTCTGCTGGAAGAGATTGGGTTTGGTTGGCCTGGAGGATTTGTAAAAGCATTGCTATCTGAGGCGAGTCACACTGACGATTAACCATGCGTCAGCTGGAGGTGGAGGTCGTCTGTGGTCTGGGTCAGAGCTGGAAACATGGAAGAGTGGACCAGTCACACAGCGGTGGTATGACTGAGGAAAGTGGTGGCTGTCAGAGACAGAAAAATAATCCAAGGTCATAGGCTGAAATAAGGGCAGCTCAATCCGATAGAGATTATGTGGCGAGACCCGAACAGGCCTGTTCACAGCCGATCCCCAAGAAACCTGACAGAGTTTGAAGAGTTTTGGAAGGAAGCCCAACTGAGACCTGTCCACACAGACTACATGCCGTCACTGCAGCCAAATGTACGACTACTAAATAGTGACTTGAAGGGGGTAAATATTCATGCAGTCACTTATTTTCATTGAACATTTTATTTGTAGAAATCAGTTAGACAGTTTTTTTGTTTTAGTCAAAAACATTCAATTTTGTTGATTTTGATTGATTTGTAGAAGCAACAAAGGGATAAAACACCCGAGAGAGAGAATATTTTTTACAGACACTGTAGATGAAGGCAGAGGAGCAAATACCTGTCATGTATGCTTTATTTGTAAACTAGTGAATATGATGAAACGTCTGCCTGACTCCAGGTTACCTTGAGTAACCTGCATCTTTTTATTTGATGTAGACGGCATCAAATAAAAAGATGCAAGTACATATTTCAACAGAACTCTGCAGATTATATTTTATATACATTTAAATTACCCCTCTCTACTTATTCCATCCTCTTCAAAGATGGATCTGTGGCTGCTACCTGGTGTTATTCTGTGATTTTCATGCAATGTTTGAGTCCATTAATTTCAATGAGTGCATATTAATATGAACAAACAACATTGGACTGAGTTGCCGCGCTCAGACTGGTTCAGATTAGTTGTGGAACTGCGAGATTGATTTTTATTTGTGAAGACAGAGACGTGAATGAGTATAATAGGTGAAACAATTCTGTTTTGTGTTTGACAAATACACATGAAACGTTAGTGGAGCTGCAGCATCTTTGTTGCATTTTGCGGTTTCTTTCCATTTCTTTTTACTTCATCTGATCCGCATCAGCGCTCTTGGAGGAGTCAGCCTGTTTTCCATCCACTGTTTTCACTGCAAAAAAGTGACAAAACAAGATTTATTGATACTTTATATTCTGCAAAACGATAATTTAAAAATACTGAAAGGAAAAAAAATCTCTTGCCTTGTTTAGAGCTGCTGTTGGAGAAGAATAAAAATAAAACATTAGTTCACGTTTTGTTAAATTTTTTACTTTATCCATTTTTTGTTTATTACCTGTAATATTAGTGTACATGCATCTTCCTAGCTCTCACCTGCCGTCCTCCCCATCAAGCAGCCTCCTGTACTCTACAATCTCTGCCTCCAGACGGGTTGTGAGGTCCAGAAGAGTGTCGTACATCTGCCTCTTCTCCTCTATCGCAGCATTAACTTCTGAAATCTGAGCTTCCAGGCCCGTGACCACAACCTGGAAACCTGCCAGATGGGCAGCGTAGCCTTGCTGAGTCTCTTGCAGAGATTCTTCCAGAGATAATTTCTGATGGAAAGGATGGATAATGAACAGATACGTTAAGTTGTGTCTTGGTAAATGATTTATCATCTTCTGGTAACGGTGAAACGCAACATTCCCTCACGGAAACTTGCATTAGCTTGGTTTGTCAAAAGAACTGTGCAAGTTTTATATATTGTGTAAAGATGTTGGATTCTGTATGTCCTGTTTAGAATGAGTTGGCATTACTGCATGCAGCCGTTTCCAAATGTAGCTGCTAAAAACATCAAACAGCCTGTACCAGCCAACAACTGCATCACTATGTAGCAAAATGTACAATTCTCTAACTGCACTGATTAGGTTTTTGTAAAATAAAAAAAGTAAATAAAATAAAGAGAAAATATATCCATTACATTTTTCAGATGGAAAGCAGATTATCTCTACTTTGTATTCAAAGTTAAGTCTCCTAGTAGGTTTTTAGAACAAAACGTTTGCATTTTTCTTGGAAACTTAAATGCATTAACTTCAGTTACATGTAAAAGTAATTTGTGACGTAAATGGGACAAACTTGGTCATATAAAGGAAACCATGAAATTATGCTGAATGTCAGTTTTTCTACCTCATTGGACCAATATGGGACACGTAAATGTCTCGGTTAGCGGTAGGACGTACCATACTGAAATCGGACTGCAGTTCAACCTGAAGCCTCTGCACGGTGGTCTTCAGGTCCTTCATCTCCAAGCGGAATCCCTCCAGACTGGTTGTTTGTTCTTCTACAACCTTCCCCTCCGATGTCATCTAGGCAGAAAAACAACATTAACTATTATTAACCATTCCAGACGCCTCTCGATTAGTTCTTGCAGTGTTGAATGTTATTTTTTATTTCATGTCTCGCCTTGTTGTGGTACCACATCTCAACGTCCTTGCTGTTCTTGGCGATAAGAGCCTCGTAGTGCTCCCTGAGCTCCGTCATGGTCTGGCTCAGATCTGCTGGAGAAGGAACGTCGACCTCCACGTTAACCTGGTCGCCTGTCTGCTCCCCCAGCAGAGAGATTTCCTGCAGGTGTTCAACAAATAACAGGCCTGAGTAAATGGAAGAAGATAAGAATTAAATGTGAGGAGACGGGTGAAGCCAAATGCAGCAGAGCCGCTTATTTAAACAGAAATAAGAGACAATATTTGCTCTCTTTTATCAGGCGTATAAATTATGTACGATTGGGTTGGCACACCATGAAGAGAGAAGTTAGAGTGAAACAACATTTTCCTTCAGTAAATAGCTGCTGCTGAGACAATCAAGTAATTTAACTCAAGTAATTTAACACAAATTAACTAAAATACTTCTCAGTTATTTTTTTCTGTTGTCTTTAAACATGGTGTAGACCAGAAGTCCCCAACTCTTCTTCAGAGTCTAAATCATGTAACGTCTAGATGAAGAACACCCAAATCAAAAGGTTCAATGACCTCATCAATAAATCAAGCCATCAAGTTCCGTAGAGGCCTGGAAATGAGCCATCCTACTGATTTTATGTGTGTCGGACACAAACATGGACACAATGACACGCTGACACATCAGTAAACCTTAAAGCTGCTCTGCAAGGGACGTCATTTACTCTGCAGCCTTACCTCCTCGTGGTCCCTCTTCAACATGATGAGCTCCTCCTTCAGAGACTCGCACAGAGTCTCCTGATGCATTTTCTCCAGAGTGAGATCATCCATGACTCTCTTCAGTCCAGCGATCTCGCCCTCTACAGCCTGCCTCATGCTGAGCTCGATCTCAGATCTGATAAGGAAGGGCAGAACAGGTCAAAGAGGTTTCGGGACATACTTACGAGCAGAGGTTGTTTAATTGTGATGCATGAGCGAAATGTTACAACAGAAGATGGAAGTAAACACCTAGAGAAAACACTCACTTCATTTTAAAGTCTTCAGCAGCCAGTTTTGAATTATTAATTTGCAAGTAGATCTCAGTGCTGAATGTGGTGGCATCTCGGATCTGAGGATGAAAAATAATCATCAGGGTAATATACATCTTTTTTTCTTTTTCTTTTTTTACAATTTGACAGAGTTATACTCCGAAGCTTGTAAATTTCAGACTAACAGGGGTTGCAACGTTTTGAGTGTTTTCTTCTTACCTTGTTCTGCAGATCTTCGATGGTGGCCATGTAGGCGCTGTAATCATGGCTGATCACAGTTTTGCTTGTGTACCACTCTGCGATCTGCTTTTCCAGACGTTCGTTCTCCTTCTCCAGCTTGTGCACCTTCTCCAGGTAGGAGGCCAGACGGTCGTTCAGGTTCTGAAGCGTGGCCTTCTCGTTGGCATCAACGTGGAGATCGAGATCCTTCATGTTGATGGCTCCTGAACGGGTCAAGTAGTCAATCTGGCCTACGGAGATGCGGGTGCCAGAACCCCCTGCTCCACCGTAGACACTCATGGTCTTTCGACCAGTGGACATCTGGCCGAAGGATCTGGAGGAGAGAGACATCTTGGAGAGTTTGGATCTGAACCAGCAACAACAACTGGAGATGATCTGCAGTACAAAACACCACTGGGACTCCCTGGTTATATAGCAAAGTGGGAAGGGCCTGGAGCTTCAGATGAAAGGAGGAATGCTGCTCACAGATAATATCCTGCATTTTGCTATGCAAAGTTTTCATCAACAATAGTGGGGGGGCTGATTCCTATCTTTTCAAGTCAAACTTGTGGATCCACATTTTGTTCTGTTTCTTAATGAAAAGGCGGAAAGACATCATGCTTTGTGAATTTTTAGCACCGGCTCTATTTCAAAGTGACCGCATTTCCAGCGGCTCGGCTGGGCTCTGTAGCACGGTGCCGCCTCCTGGCGGTGGGGGGATGTATAGCGCTCTGCCTCCAGGCGCCATGTGCTTCATTGCTTATGCTCCCTAACTAGTTGTTGTTTTTCTGAGACAAAAGATTCAGAGAGAGCTGAGCTATTGTTTAATAGCCTGTGATTTTAATTCAGGCACCTTAGGCAACTTTAAATATGGTAAAAACCAGACAAATAATCTCCAAACTGCTCACCTGGCTGGAGAGAAGCACCGGCGTTAGTCGGGGTTCACCGTGGGGGCCCCGGAGGCTAACGAGGCTTTGTCCGCTACGGTGACAAAAACGACACATTCCTCACGGCCCCATCGAGCTGCCGCTGAATATTGAAACCGGAAGCAAAGAAAAGCCGGTATCTTTTAGTCCACCGCTTGTTTGTATCTTCCATCACTTCCGTGTTGCAGCGAGTTTGAAATGTTGTGCCTGTTTTTCTTTTCTCTTTGCTGCTCCTTCTGACCACGCCTACAGCCAATCAGTCACCTGTTCTGACTATCAGAGCTACCATAGCTGCTCCGAAGCAGGGTACTAAAAAGCAGGGCCAGTCCCGAATAACAGCCAGTGGAAAAGCTGATAAAGCCAGTCGAGTAGAGGCGAGCCGGACCGAGCCGAGCCGAACCGGTGGAAAAGGGGCGTAAGAGGCTTGGGTCAAATCTGAGATGACCATTAATTTTATGTCTGTCGAACCATTTCTGTGTGGAATCGACCATCTTTAGGCTCACTGTCCTGCTGAATTATCACAAATTTTCATATTTTTGTCCCAGTTTGTTTTCAATCTAAAATGTCATGGCATTACAAAAAAAATCATGACTTTTCACAAAGTTTTACAGGAAGAAGAAATGGCCCACGTGTAGCTACACAACTCCTACCCTATGCTTAGAGTCACAGTGCATATTCACTTTTTGTTACACACCAGACGCCCCAGGGGAATTTGTTGATGAAAATCTCATCAGTCCAGTGTTAAAAACAAAAGTGAGGAGATTAAAAGACCAAAAACCTGTGAAATTGTCCTTTATGATTTTTTTAAGAGTTTATATATCTGATAGTAACTAAAAAACTAGAAGGAATTAGACAAAAACATGTGTTGGGCTGCCAACGAGTAAAAGTTGTCATGCAAATATGCTCAGGCTTTTGTCTTTTATATAACAGAATACCAGCATGGAAACTTAGATTTTCTACATTTTTAACTTTAATTGTCCCACGATTATCCAGGTGTGGAAAATTATGAAATCAGTTTTCACGTTCATAGGTTTTACAGAGATACGCTGTTACACAATGAAAATCTAAACCTAGGAATGATATCAGAAATCATTTGTGTACAAAGATTCATGATAATCTGTTGGAGAAACAAACGTGACCCCTTTCCTCTTTGACTCAAATAGGTTTGGTTTTGTCTTATATTTCTCCATTCATTCTCTAAGAGTTTATTGAACCTAATGGTAAGTAAATTAATAATAAATAAGAAAATATCAACGTTATCTAACAGCCAGTGGAGAGTTTTCCTGATTGATGTTGAAAGCATCTCAGAAACTCGTTCACATTGGCACTGAAACCGGGTTTTGCAGTCACTCCCTCCTCTTTCTAAAGTCTCTGGGTGACTCCAGTTAGTTGACCTGATCACCTTGACAAGCTCGTCTCACAGCAACTGTATTTTCCTTCAACTTGTTTGCTTAAAAAATATTCTCCTGGCTTCTAAGTTACAAAATGTTGCACCACTTAAATGCTCAAAAAAATACCAACAGCCTCGGGAGCCACAGAGGATTGTGCTGCAAATACGCAACATATAAAACCTGTTTGCAGGTGGAGTTATCAGATACCTTTCTTTGATGTTATTCCAGAACGAAATGAATCAGTGTTTATGCTATTCTCCCTCTACAGACTGGTAGAATGAGGAAAAAAAATAGTTTATTACATGGATTGTGTCGACTTATTTATCTTATTTATGGCACATTTATAAAAATAAAGATTAAAGCAACTCAAGCCTATTTTTTAAACTGTACTTCTACATCACAAATACAGTTAATAATAAAAGCAAAATCAGATTTTTTTTCAGAGCAATGTGTATTCAGATAAATCCAAAAGGATGAAATTGATGGCTTTCTGTTGCCCTTTTGGCCTTTTTCTGCTTGGAGAGATCATCTCATTGTTTTGGATTCTGCCATCACCTCTTAGAGTCACTATAGAGAGATGTGCTTACATGAAAGGTTTGTGCAACACCTGACAAGTCACTTAGTGCAAACATGAATTTTACTTATCTGGTGGGGAATCTGCAGTAGTACTCCAGGGTGTCAAGGTACTTTAACGAACTACATTCTTGCTTATCTGTGCAAAAATAACAGCCTTAGCTAAGTTGAGCGTGGAATACAATATGTTTAAAATAACAGATACAAAGGAGAAAGTTGTGCTACGAGTCCCTCCTGCTGATCAAATTTCCACAACACTTGGATTATTGAGAAGCGCTCACGGAGAGGTGAGTGTGAGAATGCATACCTTATTAGATTAAAAACAAAACCAAACATGAATTCATAGGTTGTAAGGCATTATCAATTTAAATCCATATTTAGATGGTATAATTCAATCATGAGGAATCAGCTCCACTTAAAACAACAAAGTCATTTGGGAGATTAATGGCACATCTCCTGTTTTGATCCTCAGTTTTTTATGTAAAAGGAAAGTCAAAGAAAAGTTGCAATCCTTTCATTAAAACTTAATCCCAGATTAAAATCTTAAAAACTACAGAAGCACAGAAGGTAAAAATATATATATATTTTTATGTTTTGACTTTGATACATTTTGTATCACAGTGCACAAAAAGGAAGTGCCTGACCAGCATTCCTTAAGTCCAAATAAAGCCTTCACTTGTCACCGTATCTGGCCTCACCCTGCTTATCAGTTTGACGGCTGAACAAACAGCTTCTGACATGTGTACAGTGAAAGGCAACTAGGCATTGTAACGATTTGCTGAGCAAAAAAAGAAAAAAAACATCATCATAGGCACCGCAAAAAATAGGAGCTACAATGAGTGTAAGCTCATAAAAACATATAAATGAAATACACTGTTGGTTTAGAGGCTTTTTAAATCTGGTGATGAAAAGTTGAATATAGATACAGAGAGGAAACAACAATAAAACCGAGCGATTCATGGGTCTGGATCGTTTTACGTTGGCATGTGAATGCAGAGATGGATTTCCTGACTGTTTCCACAACTTCACTAAGTTCTTACAATTTAAAAATGTTCAGATCTCAAGTGATTTACCAAGAGAGTTTAAAGCCTCTTCTAATGATTACATCTTTAAATGATTAAGGGAATAATAATTTCACCTCATCAAGGAGTTTTTGTAAGCGCCCATCCGCTCTGTGGATTGACCTACAGGTTTAAATGAATCTAAATCATGCATTTATCCCAACTAAAAACAGATTGTTATTTTGAGAAGTGAAAATACTTTCGCAAAACCTTCTGCCGTTTGCAAACACAAACAGGATGTACTGATGAAAATACTTTCACACGCGCTGACAGAAATACCTCCACTTTGCTTCAGAAGAAATATTTTACAGCATTGCCAACAATAATTACCGCAAAGATCACAGGCACATATCGCCCTGAAGAAAACTTTTTGAAATTCTTGAGCAAATGTCACTTAAGAACAGCAAACTAACACACTGATGATAGCAAGTGTAGGAGTTGTTGCAGTGAAAACTGGTTTTCAGGCAGGTGTAGGTGAATAAGAGCTACTGGATATTTGTACTTCTTTTTCAAAAACCATCTCTATTAAAAGATTTCCATTTTAGAAAGGTTTCATTTCATCTGTTTAGTAAAAAAAATTTTGTTATACTTTAAAAAAAGTCTATGCCTGTGTCACCTCAAAATGTGTGTTAATAGTCTCTACAGTAACCTTTTATTTAAATGTGAACATCTGCAGTCTAAGCTGTTCACACACACAAAATGAAATTTATGTTGAACTTTTTTATTGCTAAAGCTTGTGTGTTACCCTTTGATAATAAGCAGTGGAAGCAAAAAGTGGTGGCTGGTGAGAATATTACTGCTGATGAGCAACCTGAAAGCGCCGTCTTCATTCTGCTATCACCAGATTAGAGTTTGGTTTAGTTCTAAACATTTCCTTATAGATGTTTCTCAAAGCCTGTGTGTCCAATATAACCGCAGCTGCGACGTCCTTCGCCTCTGGGTCCACTTTTCACAGAGGTGAAACTGTCTCTGGCATGTGTCAATTCTGTCACTATCCGAGCAGCTGGACGACCGAAATAAGTTTAATACATATTTATTGTAAAGCAGTGACTCGAGTTTGCCATTGATGTAAAAAACAAACATGCCCTTTAGGAACAAGAAAAAGTGGATTTACGAGTTTGACTTGATGGCGGACAAATGAACCCCCACCCCATGATCGCCACACCCATGGCAAAGAAGGGATTAGACAGAAGAGTGTGGGGTAATCTGCCAAATGCATTCATCGTTTCACCTGAAGCTCCAGGCCCTTCCCACTTTGCTATATAACCAGGGAGTCCCGGTGGTGTTTTGTACTGCAGATCATCTCCAGTTGTTGTTGCTGGTTCAGATCCAAACTCTCCAAGATGTCTCTCTCCTCCAGATCCTTCGGCCAGATGTCCACCGGTCAGAAGACCATGAGTGTCTACGGCGGAGCAGGGGGTTCTGGCACCCGCATCTCCGT